AAGTTGGAGATGAGTTTTTTGTTCAGTCTCGATTTCAGACTTAAAGTAACCGTGAATACATTTCAAAGATACTGTTCCCAACTTCGAAAGGAATCTTCGGACGATCATCAAATCGAACGGCCAATCCGAGCATGTGGAATTAAAGATGGTTGGCCGAGCAAAAGAGATACGCAATGTGCTGCAACAATCTCAAGATGAAAGATTAGCAAAATCCCAGGCGTCACATCATATATACAGATGCCGAAAATGTAGCTTTTTTAGCGACGATTCTCAAAGAAACAGCAAACTTGCTCCTTTTACATCATTTGTACGCCATTAGTTAGCGTGATTGTTTTATTTCTTAGCGTGCATTATATTAAAGATTTGAACTTTGTGATCATGAAATTTACCAAGTTTTGGTCATGTTTTTCATCTTTATCGTTTACCTTTTTGGGCTAATTTTAGATACAAAAACAATTCATATGCTTGGATTCTACTGCAGTCAATTACCATAGGTGGTAAGATTTTGCAGCAACAAACATTGTCATGTGATTGCTTTATGATGATGAGATGATGATTACATCATAGGCTGGAAATTTGAAAAGCCAATCTTAATAGTGACCCTTTGAACCCTTTAGGTCATTCTTATATTTGTTCATATTTAATGTTTATTCATGTTCGATTCATATTTATTATAAATTTTAAAAATTATATTTATATTCATTTATTTAAAGTTATGTACTTATACTTACCTATTTAAGATTAAAGGACTTCATGAATATGTTAAAAGAATGATTTTTATCTTAGAGGCCTCAGGTTCGACATCAGAGACTGCAAATATAATTATGAATATATTGTAATCACCTTAGATTATTCAAAATAAAATTAACAAACATTATATTGTTATGTTTATGTATATGTTTAACAACATTAAACAAATATATTTACGAATTATATATGTATTTGAAACTGTCAACAGCTGTCACCCCATCTCATTTTCATATGATTCTTCTTCTTCCTAAATGATAGGTACAATTTTTAACCACATATTTATAAATTTATGAAATAAATTTAAATTTGAACTTTTATTTGTTAACATAAAATATAAGTTATAGATCATTTTTTCTCATAAATAAATTCTATTTCAACCAAAAGAAGAATGAAATCATTTTACTCATAGATCCAGTTAAATGTACTAAAGAATAACTCTATAATAACTCTTGTATGTAAATTTACAAAAATTAAATTATTTGAAGTGTTATAAGCATTTGTAATAGCTTTACAATCCAATAATATATTTCTAATTATATAATTTAATAGCTTATTTGTTATCGTGTTGATATTTTTTGCTTTGGATTTTCGGATTGGATTTATATACGTGATTTGCGTTCATGGATAGTTTTTCACGTCGATCAATTCTGATTTGCAGTTTGTCGGTGGTCTTTCAATAGCTTGATCCCTTTTGTGATTTGTTTTTCGATGCAATCAGACTTGTTCGTATCTACCTTTTATCGAGTTTATTTGGTTAGGTTTTTAACCTTTTCCTTGTATGGCCATTCTGTGATATTAAGTGACTATTTTCTTATATGAACTATTATAGGAAAATATCCCCTATTATATATTTAGTTTAGTATCATAATTGTAAACTTTTATTGTAATTTGGATTTTCTTTTTAATTTTAATAAAACTAGTTACTTCTATCTCATCAAAAAAAAAATTCATCAACTAAAAGAAAGTTACCTTTTTATAACGCTCTCATCATTTTTTTAGCACTTGTTTCTGCATCATACTACATGATTGATCACTTTCGTTTAAGTTTTTTTTCATATTGAATTTGAAAAACATAATATTTGGTCACAAAGGGTTAACTATCGTTCGACTTTTTACGGAATATGGATGTAACATAGAGAATATTTAAAATTAAAAAGATTAAACTACACAAATGATCACTAATGTTTGAGTAGGTTTTTGTTTTCCCACAGGAGTTTCAGAAGTAACAAATTGGTCACTAAAACATCAAATGTGTCATTGAACAATGATTTTATATCTAATTTACCCCTAAAACTTTCTCTAGACACACTATTTTGTCCCACTTTATGTGATATTATATATTGCATATCATGTGATTTATATCATATGGTATACATTATATATTACATATTTATAATATGTATATATATTACATTTTTGTTTATAATATTGAATATATATATATATATATATATATATATATTACTCATTTTATTAAATGTTTTAGGTTAAACACAAGTACAAATTGCGGCCCAGCATTACACACCAAACCCGACAAGCAGCCTAGGACCAGTGGACCCGAATACAATCTGGAACTCGACCCGAACCAACCAATCTTTTACCCGATGCAAATTAGGGTTTTCCAATCCTAATCCTTTATCTCCTCAGCGCAACCAAACACGCAGGGAGCAGCCGGCCAAATCAAGGACTCTTGGAGAGTCCTCACGCCTCACGCCTCACACCACAATCACCGGAATCCTCAACATCAAGTCAAGCAACACAAACACAATTTAGTAGGACTCTAAAATCGAAACATTTGAGTCCAAGTGGGACTCTAAACCGATCTAAAAATAGCCAATCTCGGGGCTATAAATCGGTGTAAATCACACAATAACACACACAAGGAGATCAGTGAGAAAATATACAAGTAAAAGACATAAGAGATCGAAGCAAACTTGTATCGTTCTAAAACAATAAAAAATGGTACTTTTTTTACCTTGTTTGGCTTTTTCACTTGCATGCAATCTTTTATTTGCGATTGTTGTTTCTTTTTTTTTATTTTTTGACTCTAAAATCACCTAGAAAAAAAGTCGGCCGATGATCGGGGGAGGGCAACCAAGATCTTTCTTCTCAGATCTAGCCATCCCCGAGGCCATTTTGTGAAAACTACATGGATATTCGAAAAGAGGGTGGAAAGGGCTTTCGATTGATGTAAAAAAAAGTTTCCGCCGCAGATGGTGATCGACTGGAAACTGGGTTTAAAGGGCGGCTGTTCTTCGTGCATGAAGAACATGAAGAACAGTTGAGAGGTTTTTTATATTTTTGGTTTTGATCAAAATATGGAGAAGGGAAAAATGAAATGTTGTTTCTGATTTTTGGCTTATATACTAAACCCGTGAGACTCGTGAACCGATCCGACCCTCTCTAGGATCCGCGTGTTTTTGTTAAACAAAGGGGGAATTGTATTTTCGATCCCCCTATTTTTTTAAACTCTCCTTTTGCCCCCTTAATTCACATCTTAACTCCAATTTCCTTTTAAATTTTACCATTTATTTTCTTTTTCTTTTAATTTAGCCCTTTTATTAATATTATTATTATATATTTTATATATTTTATATATTTTTTATTTTTTTATTATCTGTTTTTTACCTAACATTCTTATTTCTTTTTTTTTTATCATAATTGTTTCCCCTTTTTATTTATTAATTTTATTTATTAAATACTATATTATATATATATATACATTTTTTTATTTTATTTTTTTATTTTGTTTCTATTCTTTTCTTTTTGCTTTCTTTTTGTTTCTATTTTTTTAATCTTATTCAATTCAATTTTACCCTTATTTTTTTTAATTCTATTTTGTTTTTTTCTTTATTGTGGTATATTTTTTTATTTTTTTTATTTTTTTGAGATTAGTCTTTATTTACTATTATTTTTTATTTCATTTTGTTTATTATTATTTAGCTTTTATTTGGGGCTTTTATGTTTTTATTTGACTTCCTTTCTTTATTGCAGTATATGTTTATATTTAATTTTGCAATTAGTATTTTCATTTTTATGCATTTTTTTTTCTCTTGTTACTTCAATTCAATTGACCCTTTGTTTGGTTTGTTTTATTTTATTTCTTTTATTTCATCAACATGCTTTTTTTTTTATCTTAATTCGATTATGCACTTTATTACATCTAACACTTTTCTTGACTTTTTAAGGGTATGTTTTAAAATCCATTAAAGATAAGATCCGACACATCTTTGGTAAGATGCAGATCAGGTAAGAAATCAAGCTGTCCGATCAACCCATTTTTATTCTTAAAATAAATTATCGGTGGCGACTCTAACCATTCCATTCAAGTCAAAGTCCAATTCCGGGCCTACCCGAAAGACGGTCGCGATAACTTGGCGACTCTTCTGGGGACATGTAAGTGAGTCGGACTAAAATTAATTTTCAGTTGTCTTCTTAAGTGAAAATGGTAAGTTTAAATTTTAAGGTAACTTTTTTTTATCTTTATTACTTACTTTTGATTATCTTTTCAAATAAATAGTTGTACTGACGATTTCTTTTAATGGTTTCAGTTTATCAAACTCTTTTACCACCTAAGGCTCTATACCCGAGCTCCAAACCCTTTTAAGTGGGGTGAAAGCGACGCCTTCGTGAGAATTTATTCTCCGCATAGGCCTAGCAAGTAGCCTTCGGGATTCATATATCTTATGTCTTCGTGTGAATTTATTCACAGCATAGACATAAGAGAATGTATCATCTCGAGTTTAACTTAGTCCACACAAGCTTGTAATGGGCTTAGGACTAAGGGTTTGGCAAGCCCAAGGGGCACCAGCAAGGCGAACTCTAGTTACTTTTTTTTAGAACCTAAACCGGGAGACTACAGGGAATTAACCCAAAAACCCCATTTCAAGACGTAGGATGTTTTTTTCACTCATGCAGTTTGTCATTTCTGTTTTTTCTTTCATCTCTTATATTTTTATCTTACTAACTTTTTGCTTTCATGTTTATCTTTTTAGCATTTGCATTATAAAAAGAGGCAATTGATCCATAAAAAGGTGTTAGTTACACAAATAATCTGCATTAATGGACAAATAGGTAGTAATGCAAGAGATAAAAAAGCTGAGGTACGACTATGGTCCGAAAAGACTCAGAAAGAGATGGAAGACAATCTGCAAGGAAGCTATGTGTCAGAATTGGTTAGCTATGCTTCTTTCAGCCTAAAGCAGAATGATGTTCAAGAGCTACAGAGTATTTAGGATAGCTGGAAGAGTGACTAGAAGAAGAAGTTCAGCTAGCGCTATGGTGATATTGCTCTCATTCTCTATGTCAAGATGGATGAGCCCCTAATTAGAGCTTTGGTATAATTCTGAAACTTGGGGTACAGCTGTTTCACCTTTAACCAGGAGGACATGGTGCCCACAATTGAAGAGTATACTACACTGATACACTGCGAAGGCATCAGACTGGAGCGGGCCTACATCAAGCACATCAAAAGTCAGCCTTTCAAGAATGGACTGGAAAAGGTTACATGGGTTGGTAAAAAATGGGTAACTAACTAGGCACGACACAAAGGTAGTGGGGAAGGAATTGCATGGATCCATATCAAGCAACTGATGAAGAACCATCCCGATTAATGGAAGGTAATAGATCTTTTCGCACTGGGTCTGTATGGTTTGATTATATTCCCAAAGACTCTAGGGTACATTGATGCAGCTGTGGTGGAACTGTTTGAACAACTCCCAAGGCAAGTAAATCCAACACCGATAATTTTAGCTAATACCTTCCGCTCTCTCAACCACTGCAGAAAGACTGACGGAGGAAGATTCATGGGGTGTGCTCAGCTTTTCCAAGTTGGATTTACAGTCATTTATGGAAGACTAACGGGATTTATTACAGCCGATTCAACACCACTTATTCACATTTGGGAGAATTAATTACTCTGAAATAGCATGAAGGTGCTTCAAAAGACAAGTGGATGTAAGTATTCACACATCTTCAGGATAGAGATATTGCCTAGAGAGCTTCTTGGCTGACTCACAGTGACATTCTCTTCCGATGTGGGGATTCAGACACTATGACATTACTCGGACTATGGGAGGAGTGGGATATTCTCCACTTTTGGCACTTCGACAGTTTGGAGCATGCCAGTTTGTCCCAGCAACATGCAGAATAGCTGGATTAGAATTTGCATACCATGCAGACAACTACAAGAAAATGGTTAAGGAAGTAGCTGAGTCATGGAAGAAAGTGCTTCAAATGGATGTCGTGGCTGCCAAGGACATGCTTACTCCAAACTATTTGGAATGGCGGAGGCTAAGGAAAAATGACAATATCTCATTGCCAGATCATGAGGACACCCGGACCATAGAGAAACATCTTAAGTTTGTTCATTCCGAGCTGGAGATAGCACGGGAAGAATTTGAAGCTGTAAAGAATGAACTGAAATAGAGGGTAAGGGAACTTGACGCCGAAAGATACCAGTGGAAATTAGATGTCGATACTCAGAAAGATCGAGTAGACAAGTTAGAAAAGGAACAGAGGAAAACTTGTTTTGAACTTGAAGACTTAAGAAAATGATATCGAGAACAAGTGTAGAGTAACTCCAATCTGAAAAGGACTTTTGAGTATTGGAAAGGTAAAACTAGCAGCCTGAAAAGGAAGTTTGAAGGGCATGATGAAAGAGAGACTCTGAAGGAATAGCTAAAGACTGCTCAGAGGCGTTTGATAGACAGTCAGCATCAGAATAAGCATTTGAGAATCTAGGTAGTTGATTTGGATAAGTCTCTTAAGAAACAGCAAGAACGGGATGGCAAAACCATAGCTGAGTTAGAAGCCATTATGGATGGATTCAAGAAACAAGCAAGTGAACTTAAGATAATGCCCTTTGATGGAGGGTTATAGTGGTGATTTTTTTTGGGAACAAGCTCAGCAAAGGGTGAAGGCTAGAGATGCAATCATCTGTGATTTCCTAGAGCAATTACAGAAGGCATCTCGTCATTTGCATAGTTTAGCAACAGAAGCCGGAGTGGTTCGACAAAGCATTCAACCAGTGACAGATGAAGAAAGAAGACTTGTCAACATATTAGAAGTTATTCAGGGTTTAAAGGATCTAGTCTAAATGTACCTTTGATATATTTTTATCTCTTAAAAGATAAAACAGTTTTATTTAAATAAGGATTATTTATAATAACAGACACATTTCTAGATCAATGCCTCTAAATCACATACATCATGCATTTCATACTTTGCATTTTATTTTCCATGTTTATTTTTCTATTTTTCTATGTTTTTACATTCATATTACTAACAGAAAATATCTCATTAGAAGAAAGAACAAACACCGAGTTTACCTCCACAAGCTCTGGATACACATCATCTTCACAAAAATCGCACCAAGAAAAGACAAATGGAAGCCAAAATTGCTCAACTCGAGGAAAACATATTGAAGTTACAGAGAGAGCTGGAAGAAAAGATAAACCAGAATAGTCAGAGTACATTAGATACAATCACGAAGAGCCAAGAGTCCTTGGTCGATCAGATTGTGGCTAAGTTATCTGGTTTACAACAAGCGAGTACACCAGGGGCACGTTCGTCTGATAGGGTAAATATACCACCGACCCCACAGGTGGTTATCCCACCCGAAATTTTACCCGGGCTGCAAGGGGACTCATCTACGGCTAAAAGAAAAGCCTCATCTACTGTAAAGATACAGACTTCTGCATCCAACCCTGACAATAATCCGGATGATTAGCACATACCGAATTTCGATGAGGAGGACAAGGCGAAAAAGATGGAAGAGAAAATTAAACTACTAGAAGACCAAATGAAAGTGGTCAAAGGGGACCATGATTACTATGGAGCGGATGCATTGGAGCTAAGCCTGGTCTCGCATTTGGTGCTTCTACCAAAATTCAAAGTCCCTGAGTTCGAGAAATTCGACGGAAATAGTAGCCCCTCAACCTACATCACTATGTTATGTTGGAAGATGATGGGATATATGGGAAATGATCAACTACTGATTCATTGCTTCCAGAAGAGCCCGGTTTAACTATCCTGTGGTATAATCAGCTGAACCGATCTAATATCAAGACCTGAAAAGACCTAGCCAAGTCTTTCCTAGAATAGTACAAACACATTAACGATATGAGACCAGATCGGGTTATGCTACAAAGCATGGAGAAAAAGCATAATGAAAGTTTCCGACAGTATGCACAGAGATGGAGGGATTTGGTTGTGCAAGTTTATCTACCCTTGGATGAAAAGTAAACCAGGAAGCTCTTTGTGCAGACTCTGAAAGCTCCTTACTTTAGGCACCTGGTCACAATTACATCAGGAAGCTTCTTAGATTTAGTTATAGCCAGAGAGATGATTGAATTAGCCATAAAACAAGGCATAATTGAGAGAGGTGAATCAAGCAAGAAACATCACATAAAGAACAAAGACAGATAGATCAACAACATCAACACCTATAATTCTAAAAAAGGTATTACGATCTCAAGCATAAAAACAACTGCAACTGTACCATCAGGTACTTTTAGACAAAATCAGAGGGAACCCAGGAAAGAAAGAGAGAATGAGCAATTCTATCATATCCCCATATCATACAAGGAATTATACCAACAACTTTTTGACACTTATGTAGTGTCACCATACCCTATGGAACTAATGAATCCCATATACCCCAGATGGTATAATGAGAACGCTCACTGCGAATACCATGGTGGTGTACCAGGGCACACAATTGAAAACTGCCTCGCATTCAAGAGAATTGTACAAAACAAAGAATGTGCAAAAAGAATTTGATTCACTTTAACTCTGGAGCACCAAATGTTGCAAAAAATCCTTTGCCTAACCATCAGGAGATTGGGATTAATGCAGTCACCACAGAGAAAGGCAGGAAAATTAAAATAGGTGTTTATGAAGTAAAGTCTCATTTGGCTTGGGTATGAAGCAAAATGTTGAAAGCAGAGCTTCTTGCACCACATTTGGATACATCAAGGAAAGGAGATGGTAACCACTATTGTTACCACAATGAAGAGAGGCATGAGGTGCAAGATTGCCCAGAGTTCAAAACTTTGATCCAACTCATGATGGATAGAAGTGAGCTGGAATTCTATGAAGAAGTCTAAGATTCTTCGGAAATAGATGTTTGTGTTACCGGAGAGTCATCTGGAAGAAGATACGGTAGGGGTAGTAGTTTGATAATTACCCCTAAGGAGAAGATAACAGAAAGAACACAAGCGAAGGTGGTGATCAAAACACCCCAACTTTTTCACTACAAGGATAGCCGACAAGTGCTATGAAAGTATGAATGTCAGGTGAGCACTTCAAGAGAAGATGACAGTGAAATGGGGAAAGTTGCGGGGAAACACTACTCCCAAGAGGCTAAGTCCCCCCAGAGACTACTTGAACCCTTCAAGAAAGATGTGTTGGCTATCAACGAGCCCATAAAGGAGGAAGAAGTAAGAGAGTTCCTCAAATTCTTGAAGCACAACGAGTACAACATCGTAGAATAGGTACATAGTCTGCCGATACGCACTTCAATGCTAGCAATATTATTGTACGTAGAGGCACACCGGGAGGCACTTTTGAAGATCTTGAATCAAAATTTTGTGCCACAAGACATACCAGTCAGCAAGTTGGATCGATTGGTTAGCAACATTCAAGCTGAGAATCTCATCTCATTTTTAGATGATGAGATTTCGTCTAAGGGAAGAGGTTGAGCTAAGGCATTACATATCACAATCCATTGTAAGGAGTTCGCTTTACCAAGTGTATTGATCGACAACGGTTTAACCCTTAATGTAATGCCTTTAGTCACATTGAAAAGGCTGCCAGTGGATACCTCTTACATGAGAACCTGCCAGAGTGTAGTCCGAGCATTTGATGGGACCAAGAAGGAGGTCATTAGAAAGATTGAGGTGTCGTTAACCATCAGACCTACCACATATAATATTGAATTCTTAGTGATATATATCATGCCTTCATACAACTTCCTTTTAGGAAGACCTTGGATTCATCAAGGTGGTGCAATACCATCCACGCTGTACCAAAAAGTCAAGTTTGTCATTGATGGGGACCTGATGATCATTAATGCCGAAGAAGATATCGTGGCGAGTGTGACCACGGATGCTCCATATATTGAAGTAGATGAGGAGGTGGTAGAGTGTTCATTCCGCTCATTGGAATTTGTAAATGCCACATTTATGGTTGAAGAAGGAAGTTTTCTAAATCTTGGCTTTCCAAGTATACCAGAATGGAGATTAGGCAGATTTTAAGAAGAGGTGCCAAGATAGGAAGAGGGTTTGAGAAGCAGCTGCAAGGAATGATTAATCCAGTCCTTCCTATATCAAAACTAGATTAGTTTTGGCTTAGTTTTCGGCTGAGTCACCAACAAAAGAGGAAAGAAATTCAGAAGAACCGAGAAAGATGATTGCACAGATTGATTAAAACTGAATTTCAATGGGAACCCATGGTATTCCCACCTCTTTACGACACATTCAAGTCTGGTGGTTATGTGTTTGAGACCATCTCATCAGATTTGAAAATGGCTTTGAAAGATTTGAGTATCAATTTTGTAATCACAAAATATGCTAAAGATATGGATAGATCTAGAATCTGCCCACTTCCACCTGAGTCTGTGCTTAGCAACTGGTCAGCGGAAGAACTGCCTGTGATTTTCAAATTTCTTTCAGAGTAATATTCAAACTATCCATATTTGACTATACCCGGGGCAATAGGTGATCTTTTGTAAGGGTGAATAAACATTTTTTAAATTAAATAAAAGATGCAAGTTTCTTTCATGGTAAACAATTTTATATTTCATTTCTTTTGAATTCATTTTTTAATTTTCTTCATTTCAAGTACGCTATTTCATTCTCTTTCGAATTTAATTTTTTTATGTTCCATGTGGGATATTTTCCTCTCACGCATACATATTTTCTTTTTTTCTTCAGGTCCCCAGATAACGATAATGCAGGAACTGATGATCCTGATCAGGAGGTAGATTTTGAATCGGCCATTTGTCTCGGGGAAGTTGATGAATGCGACAATAAAGAGGAGTGCAACTTGCCTACCGAATTGTTGAGAATGATAGAAAGAGAAGACAAACAAATACTACCACATGAAGAGAAAATTGAAATCTTGAATCTGGGCATCGAAGATGAGAAAAAAGAGGTCAAAATTGGCACGACACTTTCGGCTAAAGTAAGAAAAAAACTTGATAGTCTTACTTCAAGAATACAGAGATGTGTTCGCATGGTCGTATCAAGACATGTCGGGGCTAGACACAGATATGGTAGCCCACAAACTACCAATCAAACTAGAATGCAAACCCGTGCAACAAAAGCTAAGTAGAATGCGACCTGAAATGCTCCTTAAGATCAATGAGGAAGTCAAGAAGTAGTTCGATGCTAGTTTCCTTCAAGTGGCCAAGTATCCAGAGTGGGTTGCAAACATAATGTTGGTTCCAAAGAAAGACGGAAAAGTACACATGTGTGTTGATTACCGGGATCATAATAAGGCAAGCCCTAAAGACAATTTCCCTCTGCCACACATAGACACTTTGGTGGATAATACTACCGGGAATGGCTTCTTCTCGTTCATGGACGGATTCTCAGGATATAACCAGATTAAGATGCATCCTGAAGATATAAAAAAGACCACGTTCGTCATAATGTGGGGAACTTTCTGCTATAAAGTGATGCCCTTCGGGTTGAAGAATATTGGTGCAACATATCAGAGAGCTATGGTGACCCTGTTCTATAACATGATGCACAAAGAAATTGAGTTTTATGTCAACGACATGATTGTCAAGGCATAAACTGAGAATAAGCATGCCAAGAATCTAAGAAAACTCTTCCAGAGATTAAGAAAGTTATAGCTGAGACTGAACCCTAGCAAGTGCACCTTCGGAGTAATATCTGAGAAGCTGTTAGGCTTCATGGTCAGCAGGAAAGACATCGAAGTCGATCCCGATAAAGTTAAATCTATCCAGAATCTACCTCTCCCATAAACACAAAAGAGGTTTGAGGGTTTCTGGGCAGATTGAATTACATAACACGGTTCATATCTCAGTTAACCGATAAGTGTGACCCAATCTTTTGCCTTCTCCGAAAGAACAACCTTGTAGCATGGGATGAGAACTGCCAAACTGCATTCGAGAAGATAAAGGAGTACTTATCTCACATTCCTATCCTGATGTCCCATATCCAGTGCAAACCTCTATTCTTGTATCTATCCATATTGTAGAATTCAATGGGGTGTGTCTTGGGTCAACATGATAAATCCGGAAAGAAGGAAAGGGCCATCTATTACTTGAGCAAGAAGTTAATCGATTTTGAGGTCAGATATCCTCCTATCGAAAAGGTTTGATGTACTTTAGTCTAGGCTACGCGAAGACTCAGAAAATACATGTTGTATCACACCATTTGGCTGATTTCCAAGTTAGATCCACTAAAGTACATGTTGGGTGTATTTTCTCTCTCTGGAAGGTTAGCCCGATGGAAGATGTTGTTATCTGAATTTGACATCGAATATATGAGCCAGAAGGCCATAAAAGGAAGTACCATATCGGATTTCTTGGCAAGCAGAACTAATGAAAATTACGAGCTGTTGGACTTTGACTTCCCAGATGAAGATTTGATGGCCATATCCTTAGAAGATGCAAGTACTTCCACAGACAGTTTCTGGAGAATGTATTTTTCTGGTGCATCAAAATGCATTAGGACATGGCATCGGGGTCATACTGGTCTCCCCAGAAGGGAATCATTACCCATTCACTAGCATACTGAATTTCGATTGCACCAACAACATAGTAGAATATGAGGCTTTTGTTTTGGGGATTCGAGTTGTAATGGAGCAAAATATAAAGACTTTGTGAGTATATGGAGATTCAACCTTAGTAATCTATCAGCTCCATGGAGAGTGGAAAACCAAGGATATAAAGCTGGTGGAGTACCAGAAGCTAATACTGGATATGCTCGAAGATTTCGATAAAGTCACCTTCACTATGTGCATAGAGAAGAAAATCAAATGGTTGATGCTTTAGCTACCTTGGCAGCCGCATTCAAGGCTAGCGGGGAGTCTGAAATGATGTCAATTGACATGAAATCATATGAGTACTCGACTCATTGTTACCAAGTTGAGGAAGTGAAAGACACTAAGCCCTGGTACCACGATGTTCTGCAATACATAAAAAATCGAAGTTATCCAGAGGAGGCCACCAAAACTTATAAAAGAACCATTAGAAGGATGACAATTGGATGTGTCCTTGATGGGGAGGTCTTATACAAGAAAAGCCATGATCAAGTCCTGTTAAGGTGTGTAGATGCAGAAGAGGCAAAGATGATAGTGGAGGAAGTACATGACGGAGTTTGTGGAACACATGCAAATGGACATATGATGTCAAGGAAAATAATAATATGCGAATATTTTTGGTCCACACTGGAAAATGAATGCATCAACTATGCTAAAGATGTCATAAATGTCAAATTTACGTGGAGAGTGGGAAACCAAGGATGTAAAGCTGGTGGAGTACCAGAAGCTAATACTGGATATGCTCGAAGATTTCGATAAAGTCACCTTTCACTATGTGTATAGAGAAGAAAATCAAATGGTTGATGCTTTAGCTACCTTGGCAGCCGCATTCAAGGCTGGTAGGGAGTCTGAAATGATGCCAATTAACATGCAATAATATGAGTACTAGACTCATTGTTACCAAGTCGAGGAAGTGAAAGACACTAAGCCCTGGTACCATGACGTTCTGCAATACATAAAAAATGAAGTTATCCAGAGGAAGCCACCAAAACTGATAAAAGAACCATTAGAAGGATGGCAGTTGGATATGTCCTTGATGGGGAGGTCTTATACAAGAAAATCCATGATCGAGTCCTGTTAAGGTGTGTAGATGCAGAAGAGGCAAAGATGATAGTGGAGGAAGTACATGACGGAGTTTGTGGAACACATGCAAATGGACATATGATGTCAAGGCAAATAATGATATGCGAATATTTTTGGTCCACACTGGAAATTGACTGCATCAACTATGCTAGAAGATGTCATAAATGTCAAATTTACGGGGACAAAATAAATGTTCCACCTCAACCTATTCATGTGATGACATCACCATGGCCTTTTTCTATGTGGGGCATGGATGTTATTAGGCAAATCCATCCGAAGGCTTCAAATGTTCACTGGTTCATTCTTGTGGCAATTGACTATTTCACCAAATGGGTAGAGACTACATCATATGCCATTGTCACTCAGTCTACTATTTGTAAGTTTTTAAAGAAAGAGATCATAAGTCGGTATGGTTTACCTGAGAGGATCATTACCGATAATTCTACAAACTTGAACAACAAGATGATGGATGTTGCTTGTGAGCAATTCAACATAAAGCATCACAACTCTACTGCTTATAGACCAAATATGAATGGAGAATTAAAAGCATCAAATAAAAACA